ATGGCAAGCAATGAAGATAGGACTAGTATCCATCTGTAATGTAATTTTTACTTTATTAAATTGTAATTCTGCCAGCCCTTTTTACAAACAAATTATATATATATATATAGAGCTTTGGATTGTTTTAAAGTAACTTCAATAAAACATAATATTTTTAAGTTTAAAATAGAAACAAGAATGAAAACTAGAATAGAACATATACAAAGTATGTTTAGTTTTGTATTCAATTGTAAAATGTATAAAGATCAATGTTTATGTCTTATGGATTACAAGAAAGAAAAACGGAAAACATAGGTAAATATGGTATATTAATTATGATTGAAATTAAGTACTGTTATTGTTAAATATAGATTCCTCTACCTAATAAACCACCATGGTATCTGATCTTCAACGTCACAGAGAATAATATTCAGGATATCTGTAGTACAATATTGCATTTGTATGCAAGAAAAAAGGTATATTTTATTATTAATTTATATTTTCTTGTGTCTTGTATCCTGTAATTTAAAAGATAATTTACCTTTGTTATATTTCTGTAGGCTGATCCTGAAAAATTGGAAAAAATAATAGAAGATCTAAGAAAGGCACATCAGGAAGCAAAATTAAAGGCTAAAGGAATATCTGGAAATTCAACTCCTACACCAAATGCCAATTCTGGATTTTCTCCTGGTTCTAGACAGAGTAAGTAGAAAGTGATATGTATTATTTAGTCTGTTTTCTAATATTATAATTTATTGAAATTAAATTTTTTGTATAAAAATATTAATATTTATTAGTAGAGAATTTAATATGTTTACATTAAATATACCATTGAAGAAATAAAAATTAGAATACTTCAAAATTTATATTTTTTATTGTTCATAGAATATTTACTCCAAATCCAGTGAGCCCCACAATAGAAAAAATTCAGTTATGTAGCTTGTTGAATGATGTTTTTTTTTCTATAGATTTTTTAAAAGTTTGTTTTATCTAATGTGCATTTTAACAGAAACAATATATATAAAGTAAACTAGCAGATAAGTTCAGTGTTGCTAGGGCAAAAAGTAATGATAGCAAAGATTAAGATTATTACATTATAGCCAATCTTACCTGTTTTCTCAGAATGCGAGAATTAGGTTCCCCTGTTTCCAGACTAATCTGAAAATTTTTAGATGGGTCTAAAAATATGTTTGATTTCCCGCAAAATGCAAAAAACTGCATCTGCTCCTGTAAATCTTGCACGTTGCTTTCTCTTAACACTTCCGTTGTTGAAGCTTTAATCCTGTCCCTTTCCCCTTGGTGTGAAAATTTCGAAAAATCCCTTCTTAGTTTGCGTTCTCGTGGCATACCCTAACTGTGTACCAAATTTCAAGTTTCAATTCCTAACTGTGCTGAAATGTTCACAGTGAAATGCTCATATATACATGTACCACCTATCGTAGGATAAATGTACTATGCCAGCCAGAAACCTTTGCGAGAGTGTATTAAACAACTTCCCAAAGTTTCATGGCAATCGGATAAATGATGTAGTAATGCATGAAGGAAGGACAGACATACATTCAATTTTATATATATATATATAGATTAAGGTATATTTGATATAAAATGCTACTGCATCTCTTAATTAAATATTTTTCTAATGCATTAAAAACTACAGTCTTTTACCCTTTAGGCTTTTTAGTAATTACTTTGTTAAGATTTGGAAAAATCAACACACTGAATGTATGTGGTTAAATTTTTTGACTAGTTGTTTTTATATTTGAATAATAATATTATATCATTTACATTATCAATAATTATTAAACAGCTATAAAAAAGTTTACATGTATATATTACTCTTATCATCATTCATTATTCTTGTTGAGTAATCGGAATGTGTCGCATGCACATGTATACAACACTCTAATTATGTTTAGTTGGTAATATTTTAACTTGTAATTTTTCATACATATATATGTGTCTTTAATCCGAAAAATTACAAGAATTCTGGTAGACTATCTTACAGCCTTTAGGTCAGGAACATTTTTTATTGAAGATACAGGTTACATATGCATTTTGGATTAAATTACATATGTAAGTTTTTTGGATTATAGAGACATATATATGTATAAACAAATAAACAGCTACCATAACAGATATTTGTAATTTTTCTTGATTTAACTTCCTCAGAACAGATATAAAAAATAATTCATAAACTATATTTGTATTGTTTTATTCCATACACAACTAAATCCAGACCATTGAATTTATCTCAATTAAGTTTGCTTGCTTATTATTATTGTATTATTAACTCATAAAATTTTAAAAAATTCACTGTTAAAGTTTTTTCTTTAATTACAGACTCACCAAAACAAGGCCACTCACCTGTTGAAGTAAAGAGAGAAAAAGATGTGCACAATTCAGCAGCAAGTCCAAAGTAATTTTAATTTATTATTATTAAAGTTTTCTGAAAAAAACTTATTTGACATCTGCTTTAGAAATGCTTTAGAAATGTATTTATGATACAGTTGTTTCAGGATATCATTTTCATTAGTTTGTTTCATTTTCAATGGTAAAGAAATGAAATTTTAGAATTTCATTATCTTTGAGTACTAATATTAAAAATTAAAAACGTTTCATATAAAAGCCATTAATCTTAGATTAATTAATGATCTTGTATGGAATAATTTAAATTATATTATATATATTAAAATATGTTTTAGTAAAATAAAGCTAAATTATTCTAAAATTATTGAAACTAAAATTCTCACTGATACATAATTTTATTAAATGTTTTATAATCATTAGTTAATTTTAAAATCTTCTATTAATTTTAGTTGTTGTATGTGTACTAATTTTTTTCAAATAGATGGCTTCATTAGGTAAAATCAACTTTCAAAAAACTTATTAAAGTAATAACAATAATAATAATCAAACTTTGTTTGCAAAAAACTCAAATTAACACTTAATATAAGAGTTTTACATTTTTATCTGTAATAACTAGATTAAAATAAAACCTAATAATGTTTTTAAAATTGGAATAATATATTTAAATCATTGATAGGAATGGGGAAAAAATTGAATTGTTGCTATATGATAATGGAGATTCTAAAACACAAATAGAATTTTTGAAAATAACTTATGTAGGAATTTTTCAGTTAATAAGGTTTCTATTTCATTTACATAACATTTAATAACTAATAGTACGTAACATTTTTCAAATAATAAGTAGTTAATATTTCTTTATAAATTATATTTAACTATAATACTTTTTTTATTATTAGGAACGAGAGAGAACCAAATCACGTTGCTCCAGTGAAAAGAAAACCTCCCAGTTTGTCTCCAAATAGTCCTAGTCCCTCCAGCAAGAAGGATCGTTCAGGATCTTCCGCCAGTCACAGTGGGAGTCGCAGTCCTTCACCCAAAAGAAGAGCCAAAACTCCTCCTCGTAGCTACAAGCCTGTCCATCGAGCGCGTTCACGTTCTAGGACGAGGGAAATAAAAGAAAATAAGCACCGTTCCTTTCACAAACGAAAAAGAAGCCATTCTCGTAGCCGCAGCAAATCGCATAGTCATTCTCCTCATAGACACAGTAAAAGAAGTTACAAAAAGGAGCGAGAGAGGGAGAAATTACGTCACATGTCACGCTCAAGATCCAGAGAACGAAATCATCACTCGAATTCTTACGAGAAGTCTCATAAATCTAGGAAAGAACGATCCAAAGACATTTCTAATCATCGCAGTCGCTCCCGAGAACGAAGTCGGCGGTGACATAAATTTTCCTGCGAATATTAGCGCTACAAAATTTGTAATTTTTTTTGTGTGTGTGGTGTTACCGGACGTCTACAATTATTGTGAATTAGAGAGGAGTTTTTGACATTGCCATATACTGATTTCACTGTAAAAAGATGCTAATTTTAATATGGAATAAATTCATATATCTGTTAATGTTCGTATTTTAATTTTTATTGCTAGAGTTTAGGTAAGTTAATTTCGACGATCTTAAACCATTTAACTACGCTTTTTTTNAGTTTTTGACATTGCCATATACTGATTTCACTGTAAAAAGATGCTAATTTTAATATGGAATAAATTCATATATCTGTTAATGTTCGTATTTTAATTTTTATTGCTAGAGTTTAGGTAAGTTAATTTCGACGATCTTAAACCATTTAACTACGCTTTTTTTTGATTTCATATTTATTTTACTTAGCCATGCGCCCCTGCAGGAGGGAAAATCGACTGAAACTTCTACAAAATTATAATCGTAAAACTAATATTTTACCGTACACTCTTGACTGTGGGAATATTTTGTCTTTTTGTATTGATGCAATACTATCTATAATCTACTTTATAAAACTCCAAAATTTAATAAAATTTATTGATGTAATTATTTTTTTTCCAAACTTTATCGCCCTTGGAAATTTTTTTGCGGACGCCCAGGTTTTGTTAATTTGATGAAATCATTTTACAATGAAATTGTATTGAAATTCACAAAAGATAATTTATTTTCGTGTCAAATACCTCTTAAATGGAAGGCGCATTCAGGTTGCTGGGCCCTGTGAGTGGATAACACACAATGATTATACTTTATTCATTTTCAAACTAGTACTTTTTTTTAACTCCGCCCTGTGGGCACTAAGAGGGCCTCTTTTTGCAAGCCCATTATGGGTTCGGCCAGGCCACAATGGGGTGCCGGGTGGTGAGGGACGGGGCCCGACATATCCGAACGGACCACTTCCCCGAAAAATTCCTGGGGATTTTTCGACCCGTTCGGATTCGAGCCCGGGTCCCCCAGGGCGATAGGCTGCCACCTTGACCGCTCGGCCATTCGGCCGCTTCAAACTAGTACTAGTTGATCATTGATACAATTAATACCGAGGTTGAGGCCGAAGTTCAAAGGTTAAACTTGTACGGCAAGCAGAAGTACACGTTCACGTCGCGCACTGACTCATGGGATATTGAAAATTGGCGGAAACGTTTAACAACGACGAATGTTACTAGCGAAGGTAAATATACAAATTAAACTATTTTAAAGTATATATAGGATGTTTAATAACATTAAATAATTATTTTTAATTAGCGTCGTGTCTCTTACCGTACAATAGGACTACCTCATACTTTTGTTGAGGGAAGTAGTGGCTTATGTAAATCCGAAAGCAGCTCGGGAAATTATTTTTAGAAAATTTACAAACGTATTACGCTATTGATGGTACAAGATGCTGTGAAAGAACAAACCTACTCCTACAGAATGATAAGCTATTATGAACAGAAATACAGTCGAACCCCCTATAACACTGATTTTTCCGTTTTATATGAATTCCGTGTTGTACGAGTCACTTAGATTTTAGATACGTGAGCCGTTCACAGCCCGTACAGGAGCTCTGTACTTCAGATATACTAATAATATATTCTAATAATACTAATATACTGTGTTATAAAAATAGCAGATTGTCATTAGCAACGGCAAAAGAGTGGAAACATCATTCGCACTTGTTTGCCTCACGTAACTGCTGAACGGAAAGTCCGTTGTTCGCAGCGTACGTTATACGAGGCACTACTGTATATATATTTAGCTCTCCATTCCTGCTTTTTGTTTGATTGATAATATGCTGTTCGGCCAACAAAAAAAAGCATTAGATACCAATGTGGCGATGGAGGGTAATGACGCTCACGGTAATACTACGTTCGCACACAATCCACGACTCGCTTCTATCTCGATTTACCTACAATCTGGATTGTGACTGTCGCTCGTCAAACGTCGTGCTGTTCGCACAGGCAATCCGCTCGAGAAGAACCTGGCTATTACACGCGATCATAAAACTGACGTAACTACGCGGTAAGTCACAAACACCAACAAACAAAATGGAAGTTTTGGTTAGAAATAAATACTTTTTCTTGCCATACATCTAATAATAGACAGATGTCGTCGTCTCTCCAGATGTCTTTTTTATTTCTCTGTCGATAGCCCGACACGTGTTCAGCAGCCATCTTGTATTTTCTCGCGCGCGTGGGATTGTGGGATCTCTCTTATGACTGGATCTAGTTTCAAGAACTCTCTCCAGTCGATCGCTATAGAACCTCGTTTAAGTCGAGAGCGTTCGCACCGCGGAACTCTCTCCGACCTTAGCCACAATCTGGATCGAAATGCTCGGTGCGAACGGGGTATAAGCTAAGTACAACAACCGACGACTTTAATATTTCACCTGTTTCTTGTGTTTCAAACAAAACTAAATGGGAAAGATTGAGTAATCATAATAAAACATTTACAAATTCTAGTAGCTACTCCAGAAAATCACAAACTAGAGGCGTTAGAAAGTGAAATCGAAGAAGACCCAGAGAAAAATACAAAAAATTGGTCACACAGACTGCAGAGACCAAATCATAAATTTAACTGTTGTTTTATGTATAACTTCACGTAAAATAACGCGTTCCAATGCCCATCCACTGAGTTGAAATGCCTGACCATGTCCGATAGTTGCGCTGGATGGATAGCATTGGAAATTGATTAATAAAATTTTTTAGAATTAAACCAAATTGTAAAGAAGACTTTAAATTTATATTTTATTAACAACGTTTTGATGTTTGTATAAATTTGAGTGTGTTATTTTAGTTTTCTCTTATAAGTTAGGGGCACGGCGTCGTCATATTTCCCCTATAGAGAGGCTTCAAGTCGACATCACGAGTGACGTCATGAGAATGCGCAATTGTCCGGCGCCATCTTTGTGGTTTGTTTACGTTTATTTGTGTTTACGCGCGCTTTAGCTGAAGTTCTTGTTTATTCATCGCAAATATCACTATGGTGAATTATTGTGTAATTGGGTGTAACTAGTTCACTCAAGAAGAAAGGAACGTCATTTTTTAAAATTCCCGGCATTATTTGTCATCGAGGACCCCAAACCGAGGAGCTTTCACGACGAAGACAATTTGCATGGCTCTAGAGAATTAACCGGAAAAATTTCAATACGTATAATGTGAATATCACTACAAGAATTTGTCAGAAACATTTCATTTCAGGTAAACAATAACATGTGATTACCAGTGACCAATAAATGATTAGATAAACTTTCATGGGTATCATAGTGTGTACAAGCCGGTTGCATAAATAATAAAAAGCCCTTTGTTAATACAGACAAAATGAAATTAAATAATTTTAACAACCGCAAATTTTAGTTTGAATAGATAATGATTGTGTTCTACCTTCATTTTTCGCCTTTCGGTTTGTTTTCTTAGTCTCTGCTTGTAATAAATATTCAGTAGAGTTAATATTAAAGTGTTAAGCAAAGAAAATCGTTTAACAGATAAAAAGTTAGAAATAAATTTTGAACCAATTGTCCTTCCAGTCTAATTTACATAAATAAAAGTTTGCATTTTTTAAAGATATAAACCAATCATTTTCATTGTTCATTTACAAATACGTAAGTTAGGTTGTTTTCGTGAGAAACGTTAACATTTCTTTAAGATGTTACTTTTTATAATGATTTTTTTACATTAGTAACAAATAATCATTACGTAGTAACCTTCAAGTTATTCCTGACAAATTATTTATTATTTATATATAACATACCATAATGATAACTTTTTCAATAATATACTATTAAAAAGAATTCTTTTGCCCCAAAGGAAAACCTTCCTCATTTTATGACCAGTCATCACCAGACTGGAAACATTATGCATGGGGTATGAATGGCCAAACCCAACTGCCTATCGGGAGCGTTACGAAAGAGCACATAATCAAGAGAAACACAACCACTTGTAAGATAGTTACAGACCCCTAAAGATTTATAAGCTTTCATTTGTGAAAGAGTGTAGTAATTTGTCGTCAAAACTAAATAGTTTTTGATGTCACCAAATTCTACTTTAGGCCACAACTCTTGATGTACAACGATGCTGGCTTCGTATGGATCGACACCTTGACGTAATGAAACTTTCTCTTCATATAAAGCAGCAACTTGTCCTGTCATACTGCGAGAATAACAAGCCAGAAAAGGACCGTTTTTAACTTTGTCCATGATATAAAAATGCTGCAGTTAAGTTTAAATTGAAAAAAAAAAAGCGCTGCCAACCTGTCAAATAACAGACTACGAAAGCTAGACCACAAACATGGCGGAGGGGCGGAGAAAACGTGCATTTTATCATGACTATACGAAATAATTATGATGTTCATACAGTGCAATTGTAAAATTCCTCTGCAGTGGGTAGAGAAATTGGAGAAACTTCCAGTCACGAAAAAATGATGTCACAGACAGACCACTCATTGAGTGTTTACTTTTAACTCCAATCTCGCCCCTAGCGCGCTCAGCCTGTATATTTTTTGTTAGCTACCAATGAGCACGACCAGTGGCGTACCGTAGCAGGGGCGGCACTTTTTAGGGGGCGGCAAAATTTCACAATAAATAATAATATCTTGTAAGAATTTGAACCATTTTATTTCATATTTTCGTCCACTTACGACTCGGACCGATTGAAATGAGCACGGAATAGTGTTATCATCTATCCGGACAGTCCGGGAATCGACTCGCCGTCCGGGGATATCGTGCGCAACCTGTTGACCTTTTTTTTTTCTTTTGCTTGTACGATTTATTCGTATATATATATATATACACCTTCAATATCCAATAGAGCTAGGCCACTTGCGTTATTCCTATCCAAGTGTCCCTAGTCGCTAACTGTAACTGATTTAGAACCAGCATGCACTGCAAATTATTCTTCGCATTGCAAAATGATAAACGCATGCGTCAGGAACTTCTTTTCGAACAACCCTCACCTCCCGTCCGGGTCAGCGATTTTAAAAAAGTGGCAACACTAGCACGGAATTTTTCATTACTTATTATGTGACGAAACTGAAATTTAGTCTTTTAAATTGAGATACCTAAATAAGGGGGGGGCGAAATTTTCCTCCGCCGCGGGCGGCTGACACCCACGGTACGCCACTGAGCACGGCGTTTACTTTTCGCACCCATGACGTCATTGCTAGCTCGGAGAATTTACAACGAGCTTGGAGTTTGTTCAAAGATGGCTAGTTTGACATCAGGCTGCGCTAGGTGTCAGCTCGGCGAGCTTGGAAGTTAGCAAAAAGTAAACGCATCCATTGAAAGAGTTGAAATAAGCTATGATGTCACCACTCAGCTGAGCTACGTGAGCATGACCCACTAAGGAGGGACTTTAAGATCGCACTGTATGTTGAATAATGATTAAAAAATTAGTATTAATATAAACTATAAAATAAAAAAAACTCTTTAAAATGTAAATACAAAACAATTTAAATGCTTTATTTAAAAAAAATAATAAATCTGTACAAAACTGAATCATAATAAGAACATGCTAAACTATGTTCTCTTTCACATTAACACTTTATTTTTGCAATTTAACTATACAAAACTCTTTTATACTTAATTCTAATTTATTATGCATGAAAGTTAGAGCCTAGAAATATCTCTTCCAAAAAGAAGTGTTTTTAACCAATCCATAGGCACCTGCATTCTTGATCTCCAACTTCCTAATCTTGTCAAATATGCAGACCTCCATAGGAACCAAGAGAAGAAACCTGAAATACATTTAAATGAAGTGAGAACTTGTAATTAAATAATAAAATTATCTTCTAAGACATAATTTTAATAATTTATTCAAATTGTTAAAATTATTAGTTGATTGAACAGTTCATTCATTGGTTGATTGAATATAAGGTAATAGAAAATTTAGGCTCTATAGCCAACCACAATTACACATGGCCAGTGTGATGAGAGAGAGAGAACCATGCATCTATACTACTAACAATAATGATGCCATGAGATCCAAGTTTGAACTGATTCAGATAAGATTGATATTTCATTATGTAGCCACCTTGCTAACTCATTGTAAATTGAATTACATGTAGTTAAAGGAAATCCTCGTTAGTTTGAAATTCAAGAGACAAAATAATCGTGACTTTGAATTATCCGAGATTTACATATTTCTCTAAAATATGCCAAATACCATGTAACATGTAATTTATTAAGAAAACGGAATAGGGCTACGTATACAGAACGCTATTTTCGTTAATTTAATTTTTCACATCTAACAATTTGGTACTTTCTTAATTCTAATAAATGCCTTCCAGTAGCCAAGTGGATAAAATCACTAAACATTGGTCATGGGTTCGGGCCTGGCCAACGGCCACATATTTTCCGCGGTTTCTTCACGTTAGTAACACCTAAATAGGGTCCCATAATCCTGGGATGCATCACCTTGGGCAGATCGCGCACATGTCGTGTTATCGTAACCAAATAAATGAAACTGATTCTAACAAGCAATTATTTAGTGTGATAACGTCACAATGCTTTAAGTTTTAATCATATTTTTAATTTATTTAATTTAAAACATATGCTTTCCACACAAATTATTAGTAATGTCTTGCCCTGTACATCATACTTTTCCTTTAACAATAGAGTTGTGCCAGTCATCTATAACATCTTTTGGGAGAAAAGTTTTGAAATGTAATAGCATGACTTCCAGTTTGCATCAAAAGTTCATATATAGTTAATCAGGGCCTCCTCCCCTAAGATTTCCGTATCTGGTCTCAACCTTCATCTACCTAACTTCTCGAGATTAAAGAAAAAGACAGAGACAGACAACATACAGACGAACAACAGCTGGAATTTATAGGTCTACGATTGTTTTTAAATTGCAGCCCAATACTTTTTCAATAAATGTCATATTTGCGGGAATGTACTTCCTATGTAGTTTATACAATCTGCTTCCAAAATATAAACACTTTATCATCACATAAAAGCAATTATTCTCACATTTTTACAAGACTTTTTTATTTAATCAAGTCATATCTTTCTGATGTTAAGGTTAGCAATTTCGATCAAGTGCAGGGCCATCATAACCTATCCAAAACGGATCACTTTTCAAATATTAATAATAGACCAGTATTAATTAGTAGTCAAAAAGTTCTTTATTCCTCTACTATAGAATTTAGAGTTTTTTTAAATGTTGTAGATTGGTCACTTGGTGTGATAAACCCTTACCTAACATTACCTTCGTAGTTATATAAATCAAATAATATAATATAAGGATTAGAAGTACTAAATAATCTAATAATCTTAATCTTTTTTGTTGTTATTTTTGTACAGACAACGCAGGAGTCATCTGCTAGTACTAATATAAATAAACTGCATATAAATAGTACCTGTCAGGTGAGAACCTCATAGGTTGCCAGATAGGTTTTATAAAAAAGCAAAGCAGAATTCCTTGAAATGTTGCCCAAATTATTTTTGAAGAGGCCCAAAATGTAGTAGCCTGGAGCCCTATAAATATCTGAATACTTGTAGCCCAATTTTGCAATTCCAAAAACCAGTGGCATTTTATGAGGTAAGAGAAAAGGTAGTCCATGGGTAAAAAGCCTCTAATAAAAAGTGTACTCTACCATAAAACTGTTATGTTCCTGAGGTGTTTAATAAGAACAAAGTATGAAGACATTTAATTTACTGTTTCTTAAGTTTATTGTGAATTTTTTAAAAACAAAATACTGTGTTAATCTCATTTATTAAAAGTAAAGAAAAAGTGTGTACTGACTATGACTATGCCAGAGAAAGAGTAATGAATGATAAAGCTGCTTACTATTATTGAATTATTTAGAAACATATTAATTGTTGATAAAACATAGTTGCTGTTTCCAGATATATGTCAGAAATATAACAAAATCTAATTTTATATATAGTCAATGTTAAAATAGATACAGTAAACAAAATCTAAAGTATTATCTCATCACTCATATTCATCAAACTTAGTTTTGATAATCACTTTATTTTTTGGCTGTTAAAACATTAAAAATACACCATAACAGATCATAAAGTGAAAATAATAATAGGTAAATGAGAGTTTTATAATTATGTTGATGCCAAAGAATTCAATTATTTGTGAATTATTGAAGGAAATGTGTTAAATATGTGAAGAATATGGTCTTATGATAAATACAATCCTCATATCTAAGCTTGTATAAGATATATAAATATCTTTTCTCTTTAATAATTATTTTTCACATTAACTTTTGCATTCAATTTATAAATATAAAAAAAAGTAAAATTAAATTTTATTTAAAATTTTTAGTTTCATTACTTTATATTTTATCTTACTTCATATGTTTTATATAGTAAAATATAAAATAAAAACAAAATTAATTTTTGTGTTTGATTAGTTTTAAACAATAAAACATACAACAAATTAATAATTATATTAATGAATAAGGATGGCAAACCTTGCAGTTTCATTTCAGGTAGATCACTTAATGCTGTATATTCTCCAATATAAGCTAACATTCCCATAGATTTAAAATGAAATTCAGGAATATCGGATGTATCTGTTTTATTCAGACATTTTGCTAAATAACGACCTTGTCTCTCTGCAACCTAAATAAATGTTTCAAAAATTTAGAAAATTGAATGATAAAAGCAAAAACAATTACTGTATACATGGTATAATGAATTTTAGTTTAATAAATGAATGTATTGCTGATAGTGTATTAATTTTTCCATTTATATACAGTAGAGCGTCGTTTATCCGAATCAATTGGGGACTGGGGTTGTTCGGATAACTTATTTTTCGGATAACCAATTATGTATGAAAAAATATATTAATTTATCCCATGTTGAAATTTTTCTCCGTTGCATGTCTCTTTGCGTTGAATTTTCGTCAATGTTAAGTCTAACAAAGACTATTGTATCATTAAAAATTATTTTTTTATTTTGTACAAACAAAATAAATATATTGAAAAATATAAAAACAATAAAAAATTATACTTCAGAAGTTAATTTAGTATCAAAAACTTAAAATATTTGAGTAGCCGAAGACATAGCCAAAGATTACAGCGCCACAGCACTGGCGAAAATTTAAATTTGTTGACTGGAATTCCTTCGGATAACCGACCTTCGGATAAATGATGCTCTACTGTACTAACTTATAATCATTATTTATTCTATTAAAATCTTGACCAGATATGATACATGTAACCATAAACTGAAAAGTGTATTAACCACAAAGTAATAAATATATACATGTAAACTAAATTTTAAAGATTCTTATATAAAACACATAAATTATCTTCTCATTATCTTTTATATTCAATTATATAAGTATTTTGAGAAATTACAATTAATTTACAATATTTAAAAGCATACAATTGTTTTCACATTAGGTAAAAGCATTACTTAGAAACACAACATACAGGTAAATAAAAAAATTTCTCAGAAAGTAAAATTATGGCCCTAATGGAAAATGTATGTTTTTACAAGTTTATGTTGTACTAATATTTAATCTTTAAAATTTATTTGTTTAATTTCTTATTCTAAAACATGTCCATTGAAATACAAACATGTCTAACTGATGCCATATCAGGTATTATAATGAAACACTTGACAAATTACACTCAACTTAGACTTTTCACAGTGTTAACAGTTTTGCAAGAACTTAGAGGGTAGACAGAACTTTTGCAACATTTCTGACAGATAATCATGATAATTATTGCTAGTAGTGTAAACCCATATGGAAATTGCTTGTGCAAGATTTGTTACAAGTAATTGTCCAGTCTATCTGCACCTTCAGAGATAATTTCCTCCTAAAGAAAAGTCTACTAGTTTGATCTGAAAGTATTGCATGCTAGCAGGTGTTTTCAAATTAGAACTGTGTTTGTAACATCGGCAGCAAAAAGTGATCTAAACATGACCAGATTGGTTGGACTTGTTTCTACAGCCTTGTCAAACTACAGTAATGCCCTGAACTTACACGATAGGTGGGACCGAGTGGTAACCGTGTAAGTCGAATTCGCGTAAGTCGGGGTATAATTTTGCATATAAATACATACAAATAATTTTTAATTGGGGCCGGAGACTAAAGAAAACAATAATTTAGAAAAAAATGTTTAATAAAATCTTAGATAATACATATGTATAACAAATTAGGCCTATATTATTTTACAATTTTTCACATTTACTTGATTATTACGCCATAATTTTAACATTGTTTCCATCTCAGCGATAATACTGTGACGTTTACGAATGATGCTTGAATTTAAAGATTGAGCATTTTTCACAGCTTCGAGAATTTTTTCTTTGCCTTTTATAATTGTTCTGACCGACAATTCCGGTAGATCAAACTTCTTTGCCAATTCACAAATTTTCATTTTTGTATCGAAGTCTTTAATAATGGGTACGTTCGTAAAGTCAAACGAGTTAAACGCGTTAGTAACGAATCGTTCGAAAAGTCTAACGAAATAGGAATAACGATGACTTCATTCTCGCTTAACTCGTTCGACTTTACGAACATACCCAATGTTAACTTTACATTCCAAAGATAAAGTTTTTCTTTTCTTGTTTGATGCAGAAGAATTAGTTCTACTTCGTTTGGATGACACAGTAAAGTCTCTCAAGTCTCCGTAGATATAACAAACACAGAAATAAATAACACAAAATAAATTGTAGCTATATGTCGATTCCACGCGACACATCCGAACATGTAAGCTGAACAATAGTGTGGGGGAGTAAGTAATCAAGGGTTGCGTGGCACTCAAACAAAAGACAAATCGACGAGATTTGAAAATTGTGTAACTCCGGGTTCGTGTAAGTCGGGATAGTGTAAGTCGAGGTATTACTGTATAAACTTTCCTAGTTAGACATATGCTACAAGTATTTTATTTTCTTTTTATAACATACAATGATAATATGAAAAGATTGAAATTAAGTAAGTGTCATTAACAATATTAATAAAAAAGTTGGCAGAATCAAGAAATAGTAGTTTTAATAAACAAGCATTTTCAAATAGTATCTGAAGATAAGTTGTTTTTTATTTTTGTAAAGTTTATTTAGTATCAAAATAACAAACCAATGTATTAAAGTTTCTTTTATAATTCTTGGGTTAGTATTACAGTGGAATCTGTTAACTCGAATTGGTTGGGAAAAAACGTTTGGACTTTGAATTAAAAAGCTTCAACTTACAGAGGTTTGGCTAAAAATCAAAATTTTGTGCATTGACTTATCAGTGACCCATAATAAACTATTTGTATCTGATCTTATTATGTAGAATCATTGTGTCAATGTAAACCTCTTGGTGTTGTTGAGAAACTCAAAAACACTTAACCGAGAAATACTTTTCTGAATGGTTGATCTGTTCACTCCTAAGTGTTTAGTAAAGATTTTTTAAGTGCAATATTTTGTGCCTAGAATCAATCTGTTTTTATTTTTTATCACACAAAAACCACTCTTTACAATTGTTATGTTTTTAAAATTTTGCTGCAAAGGTTAAAATTTTTATGTAGAATTGAACTATAATCGTTTTTTTAAATTAATTTATCAAAAATCCATTTATTTATTATGTCAGCTAGTCGCAAAAATCCATTAGCAATCAAATTAAAAAAAATGTTTGAAAGAAAAGTAGGTTCTAATGGCAGTTACAGTATCTAGGTCACACATGCTGTCTGCAAAGCTCCATCCCTTGCCTGCCATCAAATGACACAATGTTTATTTTTAGTCATTTGTAGTTCCTATGCTTTATAAAAAGTTTCTAATTACTTTATTTGACAGATGAATGTTAATTATCTTATTTAATGGAAAATTAAAACTCTGGAGAGTTTATGAAAATAATGTATCTAAACCTTGTTTGAGTTAAACAGTTCAACAAATTTGAATTAACCAGTTTGACTTAACATGTAAAATCTCTATGCTGGATGATCAGGGAAAGAAAATGATTTCAAGTTATCCCAGTTCAAGTTAATCAGGTTCCATTGCATTATGTAGTAAATTATTACATTTTTTAAATAAAATGATAAAGTACCTGAGCAGTTGCAGGTAATGACATATTTTGTATCTCAGAACAGTCTCCAATAGCATAAATATCTTTATTTTCTTCTCCCAAAATTCTCAAATAGTTGTCTGTCAATATCTAAACACAAAGATAATGTAAATAATATATACAAATTTATTATAAAATTAGTCTTTTCCTTCTTAATACTGAAATAACTAATATGAAGTTAAACCATTACAATATATATACTGATTTACAAATCAATTATACTAACCTTCATATTTACTTTGTCACATTATATATATATATATATATATATAATATGTAACAAACTATTCTACATATAATATAATATACAACTATATACAAGGAAAAGACAAAATAGCCAAGGTAATCTTGCTATTGACTAGCTAGTTGTTAGGTTAGAAGAATGTCCAGCAAGAAAGGTCAAATACTTTTATGTCTCTCAATCATTAGTTGACAGTTGAAAGTTTGGTTTGGGAAGCTTTGTTCTAACTCATGTTTTTCTCCCATTTTGTTTGCCTGAGGAACAACAGTTTTTTGCTACACATAGAAACATTCTCTGTATAGTATAGTAGAAAACTATATTCTACAATATAGTGATTGGACATGCCCTACTCTATAGTGCATAACATTTTTCCAGCAAATATAATAAATAAAATTTGATAAACTAATTATGAGGATTGTTACAGTTCTATGAATATATTTTAGAGTAAAACTGTATTCTAAATGTAATTTAAAATACAGTTAGCATACTAGGTATAACTACCAAATAAGATTTAATTTTTTTAAAATCAATTAACACTACCAGTAATGAAGATATTTTGCACATAAAAAGTTAATCTAAAGATATTTAAACATATAAACAATATAACATTTACTTAAATAAGTAATATTTATTTTCAAAATTCTTGTTCAAAATTGCTCATTATTTAATAACAGCAAGCAATGTCCAAAGTAACTATGACATTATTACAAATTAAAGATATCAAATTATGACTTACCCTACCATTTTGAGTTTTAGAAACATCAAGTCCATTGGTAAATTCACGAGGTGCCAAACCTGTACTCCATACAACCAATCCACAAGATATATTGTCTCCATTTGCCAAAACTACACTTTTTGGTTTTACTTCTGCACATGATCATTAATTATTGTTAATTCATCTTAATAATTGTATTATATATATATAAAAATAGTAACTATTCAATTTTTATGTAATTTGATGTAATTTAGTAAATATTCAAATTATAAAAAAGCATATTTCAAATTGTATTAAATCATTCAATACATAATAATTTTACTAATAAATTATACAGTGGTATCTCAGAATACGAACGCCCCAGCATATGAAATTTTCAGGATACGACATGAAATTCAAACATATTTTTGCTCCACGATACGAACAAAAACTCACCCTACGACGTTACATTAGTTTGCAGCGCCATTTTTTATTCACTTCTGTTCGTTGGTCTCAGTCTGCATGTTTGCTTCGTCTTGGAAGTATCTCGCTCGATAAAGGAAATCTTGAGGTATTATCAGAAAGTGACTGATTTTATTGAAAAGAAACATCCCAAAAAGGTTCACATTGGCTGTATTGCTGCTCGGAGTAATGACATTTGCCTAAGTCATTTTAGAAACATTTTAAAAAGTAGGCAAAACCAAACCTCTTTGCATAGATATTTTACCAAGCGACCTCTATCCAGTGGAAGTGCTGGTAGAAGTGAAGGAAAGAAAGCAAAAAGCAGTGAATAAAAATTAAAAAATAAAACAACACTAATTTTTTAAAATCTTTTCTAAGTTATTTTTAAGTTATTGTTACATTATGTTATGTAACTTAAGTTTTAGTATGATTTCCCTTCTCCCTCTCTTCCGCCACCAATTTATACCTCCACCGTTGTCTATCCTCAAAGGTAAAGTGCAAATAAAATTACATTTTTTTTATCAATTAGTATTATATTATGATTATTTATACATTTACAACTACAAAATGCATTTTTCAGTGTTTTCCTTACTATAGTTATTTTTTTTAAAATGTATTACTTAGCTTTAATTTGAGTGTGTTTTTCGTGTTGGAACGAATTATTTGGTTTTACATGTAATCGTATGGGGAAAAATGATTCACCTTATGACATTTTCATGATACGATCTCAGTGTCGGAACGGATTAATTTCATATCCTGAGGTACCACTGTACATAGAACTCTCCATAGCTTAAACTGGTCTTCAAGTTCAAGTTTAGAGGTTTTACTGTATTTATTTATAATACATATATTATTTTTATACTATTAGTTAACAAAATATATGCTANATTTTGTACAAACAAAATAAATATATTGAAAAATATAAAAACAATAAAAAATTATACTTCAGATGTTAATTTAGTATCAAAAACGTAAAATATTTGAGTAGCCCAAGACATATCCAAAGATTAAAGCGCCACAGCACTGGCGAAAATTTAAATTTGCCGACTGGAATTTTTTCGGATGATTGACTTTCGGAAAATCGACGCTCTACTGTATATAAAATTATATTAAAAAGTAATGATGATATGAATTTTAAACATTTCAAATTTAGAACTACTGTTTATAAATGTATTAATAAAATTAAAAAGAACCCTTATCTAACTTTATGTTTACCTACTACTGTAGATTTGACTAAAATAAAATTATCTCTCTGACGAATTTTCTTTTCTGCATATGACTGAAGCTTTTTATCAAATGTTGATAATATTTTTTTCTCTTCAATTAACGTAACCTTGATTAAATCCTTTTGTTTCTTATAATATCGAGAAACATCCTAAAATTAAAATTATTATTTAAACTTAAGAAGATAAAAAATATATTATCATAAATTATAAGTATTCAGAATTAGGAATTTTAGGAATTTGAAAAATTCAGCACAAAAGTAAAAATTTATTTTATACTAAATAAAAATAATTTTTTACATTTTTATAAAATATGTATATGTAAAATTGAATACATTATCAATTAATTTAAAACTAAGTAAATAATTTTGGGAACATTATTAAAGAAATGCTGTTGTATATTAATTTTCGATTATATATTTATCAAATAACCAAAAATGATATAATACTGAGTTAAAAATGTTTTTAAAATATAATTTAATTTTGATTTGATTTTTAGGAACACAATAATTCAATAGTTGAAGTGTTCACATACTTAACTGTTTTATGCAAAAAATAAATTTTACAAAGTTTTAACATGAAGAAAAATATATAAATACACTTATCTAATTTTAAATTAGTATAAAAAATAAAAAATCTATAGCAATGAGACATTGTTACAAAAAGATTAATTAATTAATTTCATATTAGAATATCTGGATGATGTGAATATCTTTAGTTTTTTAAAAAATTTGAATTGGGATAGACAGAAAGTGTTCTAATCCCAATATAGTAAGGATTGCTTTGTTACATCATTTGCTTGCCCACTTACTTGATGGATTGCCTCTACTGAGCCTTATGATCTCACAAAGCAATGTTTTAGTTTGCTTAAAATATTCATGAATAAAATACTTTGTTTTCTTTTTAACATAAAAAAAATTATAAATCTTAATTGCAAGTTCTTTGACTACATTCAAATATAATTAATCAAGTACAAGTACATTATATATCAGGGGTGGCCAACCTGCGGCTCGCGAGCCACATGCGGCTCTTTGAAAAATTATTTGTGGCTCTTGGTAAATGTACCCGAGTTCCCTTTTCATTTTTGTGTTATTATATTTTAAAAAATTATTATCGTTTCGTATGTGTTTCAAAATGTCTTTTAAACAGGGCTGTGGAGTCGCGTAAAAATCTACCAACTCCGACTCCGACTCCGGCTAAAACACCAAAACTCCACAACTCCGACTCCGGCTAAAACACCAAAACTCCACAACTCCGACTCCGACTCCGACTCAACAGCCCTGCCAAGGCTGTGGAAGTCGCGTAAAAATCTACCGACTCCGACTAAAATATCAAAACTCCACGACTCCGACTCCGACTCCACAGCCCTGCTTTTAAATTACTAACAACAAATATGAAAGATTAAGTGCAACGTTGTAACAAATTTCATTTCCGTCCAAGTTAAGAATGATATGACTCATCGAAAACTGCGCGAACGAATATAAACAGTGGTGTAATCGTCCGTTATCGACCAACTCCAGACTGATTTTGAATTTGTAAACTGTCATTGCAATGGACAGCTGACATTGTGCTCTGGAAGAAACAATTTGTATCACTCTTGCTATGGATATAATTTGTAATCTGGAATTTTTTGCATACCTTTTTAATACGTATTTAATTGCGGCTCGCGAAAAATTTCAAATTTTGAAAAATGGCTCGGACTATCAAGGAGCTTGGCCACCCTGGTTATATATGGTTCAAGTACAAGTACAAGTATACATTATATATATTCTTTGGTGTATTATAATGATAGTTAATTCAGTAATTAACTATCATTATAATACACCAAAGAATTTAATCTGATTTTTAGATTTAAAAAAAATATAAAATCATTAACACAAAAACACAAACATTTTTATTAAACATTAAGTATATTTAATTTAAATTTTTAATTATTATGAAACATAATTATTAACAATATCAGCTGAAATGAGCCTATGAGAAAAAGATAATTAAAAATATTTCTAATTCTGTAGTTTTCAAATAATTTGATAACTAAAAGTTCAAAGCAATGTAGAAAGCAATTCTCTTAATTATATCTATTGTTATTACTGCAGGAGATGAAAATAATTTCAAAACATCTATAGAATACTAGAGAATCCTGATCTTGACAGTCCGATGGACTATCAAATCTCTAGTTTTTTCCTCAAGTCTAAAAGATATCATCCTTAACTGTCTCATGTTTGAAATTTATTACTTTTTAAAAATATTCATTTCAAATATTTTAAAAATCTAATAACAGTTCCAATTACTGCTGGATTTTTTTGATTACTTGATGACTTATGAATAAATGAAATCATCAGATTCTTTATTTAAAAACTTATACAAGACATACAATCATTGAAGACAAATATTTTATTAATATCAAATATTAATTATTTTATTATGATATGGGTTATAAGATATAAATTTGTGTTGATTAAAAAAAAATAAATCTTCATAAAATTAGAAATATGGAGGCTGAATAAGCAATGTGAACAAAACAAATGATAAATGGTTAGAAAACACAAATGGCTAGTTTAATACAAACAGTGAAAATAGGAACACTGCATAAAGTAAAACCTCATTATTTCAATATTGGATAATTTGAAGTATCATGTAATTCAAAGTCATGTCTATCCCTGACCAAGAGAATAGGATTTCGCATATATTTTGTAAAGATAATTCAGTCATTATCTGGTCCAGTGACCTGCAAAAATAATATTTAATTTGAAATCTTCCATCATATTACATGTTTATAAGAAAGTTTCCATGCCAAAATGGCAGTTTTGGTTTCAGTTTTACCAATTATACATTGTTGATTTATTGGACATCCATTGGTAATATGTACAATTTGGACTACCAACGAGGAGTGAGCTTTTTTTAATTTTTATGGAAGGAATTATTTTGGACATTTTTCACAAAAATATATTGTTTCAATAATTCCAAAGTACATTAAATACACATGCATATTTACAATAGAATGTGTACTTATAGCTTTAAACATTAATAGAGATTGTTTCCATCAGATCACATAATTTTCAAAATCTCAAACTTAAGATGGTGAATTCTTCATAGAACTAGCCATTGATCCTCTACAAGAAATTCATGGTAATTCTTTTTGAAGCACTTAAGCTTTTTGTATGTTATTTTCAGGCCTTGCTTTGAATATAATTTGCTTACGTTTTTATTGTTTTCATTAACTACATGCCAACTGACTACTTTTTCGAAATATCTTCAAATTCTTAAGTAATAACTCATAATATAAACGCATTTGTAAATGAACAGGTAAAATTATATAAGATAATGTCATAATTTTATTCAAGAATTACAAAAAGTTCTATTTGAAAAAAAAGTTTGAATAATTTGAACCCAGATAATTCAAAGTTGTGTTTTTTTGGTCCCTCGAGTTTCAAAATAGTGAGATTTTACTGTACAGTCGACCCCCCTATAACGTAGGTTCATATAATGTGGATGTGTATATCGTGGCAAAAAAATTGCAACCGTATTCGTATAAAGATGCTAAAAGGGACTCGTAAAGTGCGGTAAAACATCATCGCCGACTTGTGTCGCAACAGGATTGGTCGAATCTGGACCAATAGTGGATGAGCAGCCGAACTACTTAGACGCTACGGAGAGTTTAGGCAGGTAAGTTGAGTTTACTATCGTCTGTACAGTATATAAATTAGGTACTGTAAGTCTAATACAGTGCTGTAATTTTATACATTTCTTGTGAAGAGAACATTTCTTATTCAACAGCCATAAAAATTATTTCTATTAACAATATCTCCAAAGTTCAGCGGATTTTTCAAAGAAAAATAACTTATCAGAAAACATGCCTGCCGTTCGGTACTCTGCTCTGCGATGAAAACAAGCTTAAGCAATGGCGACGTCGAACGGTGCACACTCGGTAAGTAATCCTACAATTTTTTGTTTATAGCATAGTTTATACAGATTATTCCCAAAAAATTATATGTGTTTTGGAAATGTTGAGTTAAATTAGTCTAGAATCGATTAATTTTATGGAAGAAAACCTTTCAAACAGCCGTAGTCCGTAAACTGCACATGTGCCGGGCTGTGATTGGCTCATGTATTTAAGGATTCCTACAACACGAAATTCTTATAAAGTGGAATGTATCTACCGCGTTATAGGGGGTCGACTATATTTGATCATGTGCAAGACTGCAGAAACTTAAAGAAATTTGCAATATTTTTAAAAGTAAAAGGTTTTACAGTAGAACCTCGAAAACTCGTCCCTCGATAACTTAGCACTCCGGATAACTGGTCCACACCTTGACAGGGCAAAAAAATCCTTAGTTAATTAATTTTCATTATAGACAGCTTTATAAAAGTATAAAAGCTCTCATAAAGTATTTTTCTGAGGTCTGTCTTATCAGGTAAATTACTGTACACAGTGTATTCATTAATTTTCATTTTCATGTAGTAAAGGCTCTATGCCTTCATAAAGGACGTACTTTTCCTTTGTTTAAGGGTATTTGGGCAGTTTATTCTCTGTTATATTCTGTACAAGTAAATACTGTACAAGTACAGTACAGTATTTTCTGAGGAAATACTTGTACTTATTTTTTTTAACCCCATTCCCGATAACTCGGCATTTTCACAAACTCGGCCACCCTTCGGTCCACATTAGGTCGAGTTTTCGAGGTTCTACTGTATAAGTTATTGCAAATTAGATTATCTTGATTACATCAATACATCCCCTAAATTTTTGAGAAAATAGTTATAGGTATTTCAATATTTGGAGTTCTACTCAATGAAATATAATTTCAATTTCAAGGTTACATGTTCATATTCATAATTTTTGAATTAGATGATATCAAATATTTTTTTTTTATACATTCATAAAAATTTCTGTTTTTTTTGAGATAATTATGTAAATAATCAAATGCTGAAAATATTCCTGTAAATAATAAATAGTGATATGATAATCATATTGACATAAATTTTTCAAATTTGTTTTATAAATTCTCTAGCAATGATTAATTGATAAGTTTAAATTTATATTTTTAGTATTTACAGATCCATACCTGTTTAACAAAGTCATATAATTCTGCACCAAATTCTATACCTGTTGGTCCACCTCCTACTATAACAATGTGCAATAATCTTTTTCTTTCATCTTCTGATGTATTAGGCTCTAAAGCCACTTCAAAGTTATCCAAAATTTTATTTCGAATTTTCATGGCATCATTAATTTCCTGGAAAGAAATAACTACAAAATATCAATGGTGAAAACTAAATTAATATTTTAAATCTAATTTTAAAATAATAATTTAGTAATATTTTAAATTAAGAGTGAATACTTCTGTAACAATTAATATTACAAACATTATGTTAAATATTAATTATTAAGGTTTTTGTGTAATGATTTTCAAAGTAATTACCATAGTAACTATTTTCTACATTGAAAATAGTTTATATTATTATTAATTTGAAAACTTTATACCAAATGTAATGTATTTAAAATATTTTATTTGTTGTAAAAATTACAAAATAAACATGTTAGGCTTTTTATCTATGAAGTTATCAATGTAATTTAGTTTTAGGCAACAAGGATAGTAAAGTTTTTTACAAGAAAAGACTTAAAATATGTATTAAAAATAAAAAATTTAAAAAATTCTACTGGTTCTAAAAGAGAAACTGAAAAAAACTATAAATTTTAAACATACCCCATTATATAAATGTAAAGTGTTCTTTAAATAATTCAGATATTGAAATGTTTTATGATTTGTATTCAAATCAAATTATGTAAAGTAAGTGAAAAACAAAATCATATTACTTGAAAAAACTAATAGGTTCATTGATCATTGACATTAATCATTATTTTAATGTTTAAATTTCTTATTACAATATTTTATAAAAAATTAGATTATTTTTTATAAAATATTTAGACTTTTATCTAATATTGTTTTAAAATGCAATAGAATCTGCTTATTGTAATTACAGATGTTCAGTTGTTTAATATTATCAGAATTACAATAGCATGTCTCAAAACATAATTTACTCATAAAATTTACAAGTAAATTTTAAAAAATTTTCTCAAATTAACAAAAGAAAACACCAAGCTTCTTTATCTTTCTTCAGTCTATGTCTTTTTCATACCTCAGGAACAAACAGTCTTATGGTGGAATCAACCTTTTATTGAATGCTCTTAAAAATAACATAGGATAAAATTTTAAAAAAATTTTCTTGTACATTTTAAATGTAATTATTGCGCTGGCTATTTACTAGTTTTATTAATGTTAGTATATATAAATTAGACATTGCCAACAGAAAATATTTTACATGTTTTACATATTGAGGCAGGTAAGAGCTTACAATAAAAGATCAACTTTACCATAAGACTGAAGTGTGAAAAGGATGTAGGATGAAGAAGCTCTGTGTTGTCTTCTGTTAACTTCTTGCGAAAAATTTGTTTAAAATTCATTGTAAATTTTAAATGTAATTATCATCTTGTCTATTTACTAGCTTTTACTAATTTTAAAAGTATTCATAAAACTTTGCTTGTTTTAATAAACGTTTTAACTTATTTTTACCTTCAGATAAATATATTTTTCAGCTTCCCCTTCTAGTTATTACCTCATTATGTGGCTGATAACTTGTGTATTATCAGTTATTTCTGTCAATCTTAATCATTGTTTTATACATTTTAAAAGCTGTTGTTAGAGATGATACTACACAAAAACAGCATGCAAACAGCACTAGATGAATTAATATAAATTATACTTAATTTTTAAGTTATACATTTTGTAATTGTTTTAACAAATCCTTTTAATGTTAGAGTCTATAAAATTAATTTATACTAAATGCAGTCATATTTATCTATTCTGCTTAATGTTATCAATTGGTTATCATTATCAGTATAGATGAGTTCCATGATTATAGTAAGCAAATTTTTTTCATACTTAAATGTTTTCTGTGGAAATTTTATTGTTAAATATTTTCAGTATTAACATGATTCTTTTTCAGATTTAAGAGTTTAGTGAAAATTTAATAAACAAAAATTAAACTTTTTGTAATATCTTACTCTAATACCAAATATTATTATTATTATTGTTTATTGATTTAAATTTAAATTTCTTACAATGGGGACAAATTAATAATAATATAAAAACACACAAATCATAGTAAAATTAACGAAGAAATTCCAAAGATTTAGAGAAAAAGGAGAAGAGCTTAAATAAGGTAATTTTTGACATAACCTCATTCTTCAAATAATCACATCTAAACTCCTCCCCTAATACAGAACATTTTAGTTGGTATGTCACTTGACAGGATTCAAACAAATGAGTCAGAAGATCTTCTTTTTCTTTTACACCACAGAATTCACAACACCCTTCACTGGATATATTTATCCGGTAACCCTTGAACAAAATTCGAAATCTGTTTAGTCTGAGTTGCATAATAAGGCTTTTTGTAGAAAAATTAGTCTCACAATTCAAGTAACTTGCTGTACACCAGACCAAGCGTGATTCACACAGATTAACTCGTTTAGCTGATATTGAAGACATATCCCAGTTCCACAACTGATCTGACTTAGTTTGAATTAGTGCATTTAAATGGGTTCTCAACAAAGAAGCTGAATGAGATAAAAATAAAAAGGAATAACCCAAGCCATCAAAAATATTTTTAACTGAAGCTGGCCAACTTTTCTTACCATGTTTAACTGCTGTTAACAAAACATTATATGTTATTCGACGCAAATCACATGAGGGTAACTCCATGATTTTGGACCAGAACAAAACAATAACTTTAACAAATTTCAGTTCCAATGGTGGTCTTCCCAACTCAAGACGAACTGCAGAACTTGAAATTGAACGTTCTATTTTAAAAAGTCTCTTAAAATATTTCATCTGAACTTTTTCCATTTTAGACAAATATTCCAAACCCCAAACCGGAAATAGATAAGACAGCCTGGAACCAATAAAAGCGTCAAAAAGCCTAAACATGCCTCTCATAGAGTTTAGCTTCATACGTTTCTGTACAGTGAGAATGTACCCTGTCTTTTTCTGAATATCTTCGTCTATCAAACTAAAATGATGATTAAATGTACCTGATGAAGAAAAATGTATTCCCAAATATTTAATATATGTGACAAATCGAATTTCAGTGTTATTCACAAATATCTTGTCAGATTTTGATAATCTACCTCCATTGCGAAAAACCATTCCCTTCGTTTTTTGTAAATTAACTGTGAGGTCATTTCTTTCTGCGTAATCAACCAGCAAAGAAAGTTTTCGCTGTAAACCCGTCTTTGAATCTGCCAACAAAATTACGTCATCTGCATACATTAGACAATGCAAGTCAACAGTATCTCCTAGTGCAAAGCCCGAAATTTCTGAAGTAGAGAACAGTTGTGGTAAATCGTTAATAAATAATATAAACAGCAAAGGACTTAAAGGCTCTCCCTGTGGTAAGCCCCCACCAGAAATAACGCCCTTAGTAGTTGTTAAGTTGTCACTCACATAATACCTTGTATTACAAAATAGGTTTTTAAGTAGCCTAATAAACGAAGTTGAAAGTCCTATTGAATATAGCTTTTGCCACAGAATATTAAGATTAATTCTATCAAACGCCTTCTCCAGATCCACAAATATCGAATAAATTTTACGTCTTTTCCTTGACAAAACATACTGTATTAACCCGTTAAGTATAAAAACATTATACATAGTTCCTCTTCCTTGAACAAATGCTCCTTGAAACTGAGAAATAATATTAAATTCCATTAGCCATTGACTCAACCGATCTGCCAATATTCCAGTAAACAATTTTCTAAAAGTGTTAAGCAATGCAATTGGACGATAATTCTGAGGCTTTGATTTATCTCCTTTCTTGTAGATCATTTTCAACATCACATTTCTCCAATGCTCAGGAAATATCATTGTCTCCTTAATCTTATTAAATAATGTAAGTAATTCTAAACACACCTCATCAGGTAAATAAATAATAAATTCATTATTTATACCGTCCATGCCAGGAGCTGATTTTCTTTTAAGTTTACAGATTGATATCTTTAACTCCGATAATGAAATTGGAGCGTCCAAAATGGGAGAAACGTTTTCATGATCAAACTCAAGAATTGAATCAGAAATTGGATGACAAAAGTCATGCTCCAAAAAACGTTCCCAGTCTTGAAGAGGAATTTGACTATCGGGTTTTTTTATCATACTAAATCTGTTAACAATAGACCAAAACTGTCTAGAAGAACGTGTATTTTGCAGCTGCCTACTAATATTTGACCAATAATTCTTCTTTTTTATCCTACACAATGATCGAAAGGCAGTCCTATAACCACAATAATACATCAAATCGTCTTTACTACGGGATATCCGAAACCTCCTCAACATTTTATTCTTTAGTCTCTTCGCTGTTCTACAATCACTATCGAACCAAACTGAAGACGGTATTTTCGTCATTCCTAAGTATGAAAACATTCCACATTGTTCAGCTGATGTCTTAATCAAATCCAGAATTCCAGAGTACCTATCCTCCATTCCACCACTTAAGACAACGTTTGCATATCCAACCGAAACTGCCTCGGAATATAGGGTGGATCTATCCTCCTTCCAAGTTAATCGTTTTGTCCTATCAATCAAACTTAGTTGTCTATCCTCATCAGTATCAATCAAAATTCCAAAATTCAGCATACGATGGTCAGACATGTAGTCATCGGAAACAACAAAATCACGTAGTCTCGCCACCAAACCTTCGCTCAAAATCACTAAATCGATTACTGAAGCACCCAATCCAGATATATAAGTGAAGTCAGCTGGTGAGTCGAAAGGATAACGACCATTTATTATGTAAATGTTATAAGATTTCACCAGGTCAATAAGCAACTGTCCTCTTTTGTTACAAATTTTATCGTTTGACAGTCGAATATTCGAAATCACATTCCCACCACAAAAAGAGTCCATTGTCAAACCAATTCGTGCATTAAAATCACCCATCAACAAAAGATCGTAATCTGATGTATAATCAGAGATCAAATCTTCTAGTCTTGAAATTAATTGATCAAAAATAGGTATATGAAGGTAAACCAATATGATTATCATTTCACGTAATCCTCTACTTTGCCTCCGATTAAATTTCACTTTAACAACCATCATGTATTGCCGTGACAGAAGCAAATTAACTTCTCCCAGGTCACCACTTATGGCCAAAAGTAACCCACCCGATGGTCTACCTCTCCCCAAATTTTTGGTGGCCAATATCTCAAAAACTTTAAATTTACAGTTAATACTTTTAACTCTCGAACATAAAGGAACTGTAGACCAAGTCTCAGTCAGTCCCAAAATATCAGTTCTGGTAATATGTTCAACAAAACCATTATCATTCAGATTAGTCAGAAAGGCGCCCTGGGAGTTCCATGCTGAAACTTTCAATTCTACTGTACACTTCCCTGAATCGGAGAGAGAACATTTGGAGAATCTACTACACGGCTTTCCACTAAAAAATCAAGTTTCAATAATTCTCCTCTAGCCAAATCATAAGTATATCTCTCTGAGGCAACCTGTAAAACGTCGGCCATCAATCGAACTCGCCTGCCCTCCAATCTATAAGCACGTAAAAAAGGCAGAAGCTTTTTCCGTCTCAATCTTGAGCGCCAACATAAATCTTCAAAAATTTGTATATTTTTTAATACGTCATTGGCTTTTATCTTTCCAAGATTAGCAAAAATTAATTTTTTGTCTGCAAATGACTGCAATTCCACCAATACCATATCTGAACGTTTAAATTTCTCTATCTTAACCGTTGGAATAGGTCTTGATTCACCTATCAATGTATAAAACAGGTTCTGCACCTTCCTATTCAAATCAGAACCATCATCAATCAAACCTTTAATTAAGAAATTTTTCTTTCTCGCTTCATTCGACACCTTGTCCAAAGAATACAAAATCAAACTGTTTTCCCGTTGCAAATCATCTTTAATTTTAGAAATCTCTCCTAGTTTGGCTTCTAACTGAGTCAAACGCCGATCATGGTCATTATGTAAATTAGCCAACCAATCTATCTTCGCAACTACCTCATTTAACGTCGAAAAAAGCTTATCAAATCGGTCATCCAAATAAGAAATAACCTCCCCAGGAATAGACTTACTTGTGTCTGACTTTAAAGGGAAGAAATCTTCTAATCTCGCCGTTTTCAATGAAGGTTCACTCGGAGAACGATGTCGTTTAGCAGTGGATGCCAATGCCTGAATCTGTGAATGCGGCAGAGTGCGATCAACAGGACCGGGATTTAACTCTATCCCACCCAGAAATAACAACAACTCGAACACCATAATCCAAAATTCGATATTTTCCATAATTTGGACTTCAAAGAAGCTCACGTAAAAGTTCACTAACACGCTCAACTGCAAGCAGTGCCCCCCCCAATACCAAATATAAATAATGATAATGTTAAATTACAACATTACAATTATTTTTATTTTAATGTAATTAATCATTTTTTCTACTCACTAAATAATTTAGCATCATAACTGTTGTTATTGTTTATTAGAGAATTTAATTTTATTTGTTAAAAATGATCATCATATACACCATTAAAAAATAGTAGATGTTTATACAATTAAAACATTTCTCTCTCTTAAAGACTACACATTTTAGGCAGTACAGTCCTCAAAACAGAATAAACTACTCATTGTTACTATAACAATGAGCTGATTTGTCAGTTTTAAAGATGTTTGCACTCATATCCTTAATTTCAAGTAAGTTGCCTCTGAAATTGTGGAGTCAAAAGTAATCTATTCAAGAATTAGTTCACTGACTTACTTTTGCAGCCACCAGAATTGATCTATATATATATTGTGAAGATGATCCAATGACAGCAAATAAGAAAAATTTCTCATTGCCAAGTTTTGAGTAGGTATACAAAATAAAATATATTAATTGGGCATAATACTTGTTTCTACTTTTAATTTCTGTACTATGGTACAAAAAAATATTGGGGGATAGCCATATGGATTGGTACCCATGTTTGCAAGGAGCTTATATTATTTTATGCAAGTATCTAGTATAATTTGTTTCATTTATGGAAAAAACTATTTGGATTAGAGCTTAAACTCTCATTTTTTACAAAACAATAAGAAGTACTAACGATTATAGTAACCAAATCATTCTAAGTCAAACTGTTTCCAGTTCAAATAAAATTTAAAATCATACAAAAAACAATTTCTGTTTAATAATAAGAAAACTTTAGTTTATATGATAAATACATTTTCAACATAATAATGTTTTAACTATCTAAAATATAATATTTTGTCTTATTCTTCATTCAAAATTTAATGCATTCATTAATAATACATTAAAATATTCAAAATGTTGATTAATCATTTATATTAAAATCTTCTGTACTGGTACCTTTAAGAAAAAAGTGTATTCTTTAACACCAGGTATTCCATATGTATTATTTAATGCTCCAACACTAATTATCAATTTATCATATTTTAATTGATATTCATCATCTGGACGAATCACATTCTTACAAGTAACAAATTTATTTTTTGCATCTAAGGAAACAGCATATGCTAGATGAAACTGATCCGTTGAATGAAAATTTCTTAATTTTCTTACTGGTTCAATTATAGATCTGAAAAAAGAAATACATATTCTAATACAAAAGGTAATTTATCTTAAGCACTTAAAAATCAAACATTGAATGATTCAGAATGGGCAATTAAAAATAATTACTGTCCTGTTACTTCTTGTGGTCAACCTGTATAATTAAATAAATATATACTTTGAAAGAATATAAAATTCACAAAAAACTTTATAAAAAATCCTGTGTACTGAAACTGGCATTGTGCATATGTGACAATTGCAACCTAGTCACATCACTCATTGATAGAAAAAAAGAAGAGTGCTAAAAATTCTAGATAGAAAAAAATGTTTTCAGTTTTTAAAAATATACAGGTTAAGTTTCTATTTAATATAATAAATTGTTAATCATGAAATTGTAACCTATCACAAGGTTAAGTAAATATACTACATATTATTATTATTGCTGATCGCTTTTAATGAGATAAAAAAAAAGAATATTGGTTCTATATTGAGAACAGTAAATATTTAAATACATTCCAAAAAATCTGATATGAAAATGAAATACTATACTATTACATAAAATTATTCTTAAAGCTAGTACTACTAAATAAATGATGACAAACTAACCTTTCATAGGTTTCCAGCAGTGACAGTGTTGTAAAAGACAATGCAAACATTTTCAGCTATGTTCAGGGGCCAGTGTTAGGTTTCTAGAGAAAACTTTCTTCATTTTAACCAAACTTTTGGAATTTGGAGCGTTTTTTAAAAAAAACACAGTCTGCAACAAAATCCTTTAAAACAAACAGTCTTCTGTATAAGCCTAACACTGGCCCCTGAATGTGGCTGAAAACATTTGCATTGTCTTTTACATCACTGTCACTGCTGGAAACATGAGAAAGTTCAATTTATCATCATTATACTATTAGTCAACTAAAACAAATTTTCAATTATGTAGGCTATTAAATAATGCTTCAAAAAAGTTGAACTCAGTAATACAAGATTCACTAGTCTGGCAGTTTTAATGGCTTGGGATAGTAATTTGATCTGGAATTATTAGCTTGTATGACTGCTGCTTGGCCAATTGTGAATTTTGTCCATTTGAAAACTGAAATTATCTAATTCTGAACATAGAAATTTCCAAAGTTATCTGCAGATACATAAAGTATGGGCTTAGAGAAGTTGATTCTCATTTCAAAATAATGGGGAAAAGGTCTGCAAACATATAATTTGTTATTTTAATTTATGCAGGGTCAAATCAAGGTCTATTTTCTTATCATAGCTTATTTAATCCTTTCTGTATTTTAATTTTTTTTTATCATATAAAAAGTTGCTAATTTACACACCACTCCACACTGGGATATATGTACAGTACAACAGACATCATTCAAATTACATTGTTTTAAAAATTTTCACAAATAGGCGTTAATTCTGATAATGCTTCATTGGGTAACAGGTCATTCGCATCTGAAGAATTTGGAAGGAGAGAAAATGTTTGTGCAGTGTTTGTTTTTTGTATTATATGTACCGGAAGTTGATTCTGTGTCTGTTGTAGTTGCTAATTTGTAATCTTTAATACTTGCACTGAAACAAATTATAAGATTTTCTAAAAATATCCAAAATTATCAACTTTTCCTCAGGGTTAGGAAAATATCCAACAGAACATCACTTCAAACTATTCATAAATCAGATTATCATCTATAAATTGGCAACATGTGGCTGAGCGCACTGCTGCATGGGACACTAGGCCTACCAGCAATCCATATCACTGACATCCACCACAGCTTGTTTAAAGTGTTGGTGCTGCTATGCATATAGAGACACTGTATTACCATATTGTAATTTTTTACCCTAAGCTTCAATGGTTTAGAAAGTCTGCTGTCCCAACACCTGTCTAGTCCCAATCTTACTGAATTAGTGATGTTCAACCTGCGCAGCTATACAGGTATTCCTTATTAACTGCAACTTTCCTAATTACAGTTTTAAAATAAGATTTGTACCAATAATTGAGTTAATGAAAATATTTTATGAAAAATTTTTATTGTATTATATGAAAAGATAAAATGAATTCACTTAACATTTTTAAGAAATTATGTTAAACAATGTTAATTATACTCACCTAAATTCCAAAGTTCCAACAGTAGTACTACATAGAAGGGGAGTAAATAAAAAGTAATTTCGTGGAGAAACAACTGCAATATCATAAAGATTTTTATTGATGGAATTTAAGACACTATAACCTCCCCATCCGGTTCCCAATATAACAAGCTTTGAACGAGTATTTTGAGTATAACTTAAACATTTGTATATATATGTGGGAATTTTCATCATTAAATTGATATCTGAAATATAAATTTATCATTCTTTAAATAATAAAAAACCACTTAATTAACTCTATTAAATTAAGTGATATTATAGATTCATTTTTATAATTTTAACTTTGTGAATACACAAAATTATGTTTTTAATACCATACTGTGAATATTCAAAATGACAATACTGATATAGATCTATTGTAAAGTAAAAATACAAAACACACAAAATTTTTGTAACAATTAAACATTCATATTTATAGCAAATTAAAAATACTAAATAAGCAATACAGTAAGCATATTATTTTATCATTTCAGTAGATTTACTTTATCTGAAATTATCTATTGGTGACTAACATTTGATTTGTCGTGCAATATTAGCACCCCAGTAGGGTTGTAGACCATTCCTGTACAAATTAAAAACACCAAAACTGTGGATCTAGCAATGACTTTTTATAAGATTTGTTTATGTCCTTTTTGATTTAGTCAGACATACCCAAAAATTGAGAGGAACTAAAATAATTAGACCAACTAAATGAATTTTCTCGATATGGAATTTCATATAGGGATATGAATAATGAGCATTAATCATTTTGTACACAATTTGCAAAACTACAGCTTGAAATCTGCAAAGTTTTTTTAACTCTACAGACTTCAAGCTCTTGAAGACATTTGAAAAGAATCATCCAAATTACAGTATTGTAAAATCCATTACATGTTTTGAAAGAAAATTGGTTCAACCATCTCAAAAATTAAATCTCAATTTAGCAGATTGAGATTTAATTTGAAAAACTAATCAAAATGATTGTATTGAACAATTTTTTAATTTAATTTGTCTGTGATGACTTTTGTTTTCTTTTTTTTAGGATAAAGTTAGAAATGAAGTGTTGAACAAAAATGAATTTTATCAAATAAATTATTTTGTGTACAGATTGTTGGGGTTCTGGAAATCTGTTGTTATTCAAATGTCATGATGGAAAGAATCTGGGAAGCACACTGGTAGTACAATATAAACTTTATGAACTAAATATATGTCAGCATATAATTTCTTGTATACAATATGCTTCATGTTGTATAAATATTTTTAATCTCCTCTTATAAAGAGGAAAACACTAATTTAAAAATTGTTTTAGGATTGTTCTAATTTTTTATATTTTTTAAATCAATTTTTGCAAATCATTCAGCAATATACAAAACAAGTTTTGGATATTCATATCTTAAGAAGAGTTGTTCATGGACCCATGATCTTTTTGATTTTTTGGATTGTAATCCATAAGAATTGTAAGTCATACAGCAAGGGTGGCCAAACCTTGTCACAACAAGAGCCATACACTGCCTATCAAAAATAAATGAGCTTCATCATCTATTTATAGTATTTTAACTAAATATAATACAGTTATTACTGTTCAATAGTAAACACTACTCTTACTTTACTGGTACTTTATGACTAAGTGACTAGGTAAATAATCATTTAACTCCTCCAACTTTATGAATATACCCTAAGCTTTCAGTTGCCTATTCAAGGTTAAGTTATGCATTACACTTAAGATCTCTGTGTACATTACACTATGTAATAGTCAGATAATTTACAAAAATGTTATATATGTGTAAGTAGTATATACCAAGTTTGTAAAAGTAATTGTGTAAGTATATAGGGGAACTGCATGTGGCTGGTGACTCAGTTTGGCCACCATTGCCACAGAGATGGTTTACAACCGTATGGAAAGCCAATGGTGCAAGACAAAGATAAAATCTTCTCTAGGCATACTTGTATTGAATATTTGTGTGTGTATATATATGTACTGTACATAAAGTATAAAAAAGATGAGTAAAATCAATAATAGATATTGAGAACAATTAAATCATGTATCATGTGTAATGAATTAATATAATGTTTTATTAGGTAATTATTTACAATGAATACTGATTGTAAATAATTACCTAATAAAACAATTGTAATTATTTACAATGAATACTGATTGTAAATAATTACCCATTATTAAGCTGAATGTTTTAATTATTTTCTAACTATTTAATTTAGTAAGCAACACATACGCATACTTACGAATAAGTTTTGGTACACGTGGTTTTAAAAAGTCATTTAATCTGTGTTATAGTTATAAATTGCAAAATAAAAGCACGTGTCAATTGAAAGTAATTGAAGAATTTGTCACGTGTTTCTCCAGGATTCGAAAGTTTGTTGACATATTGCGTCATTAATCCCTAGCTCACGTGACATCAAATCTGACTAAAAAGTTAAAGAAAACCGAAAGCTGATTACTTGCTTTAAAAATAAAACATTTCTAAATTAAACTATTAATATATTAACTATTAATATATTTAAAAATAAAACATTTCTAAATTCAATTTCAAATCGAAAGTCACCTTTCTTGTGACGTTAAAATACGTTTCGCCAACTCGTTACAAAAATTCGCAAAAAATTTATATGTTCATTTATTAATATTTCTTTTATATCACAGTTCTTAAATTGGGGCATGCTATAAATAAATATAATATAGAATTATATTTTTTTATTTACCCGACAAATTTCAATCTGGCAACATTTTAATCCAAGCACATTCTGTGACGATCTCACGCTAGATGGTGTTGTCTCACAGAACGGAAAGATATGACGATAAAAAAGTGAAACTTAACTGAAAAACCTTTCAGTTTATTGCGATTTTCAAAGGTTTAAGTAATTAAGTCATATATCGTGCTTTAAATATTTTAAACCAAACAATTCGCGTTGTTTACAACAAATTATATTGTTTAATTAATAAATATGGAATTGGATATAAACTTAGAACCTTTAATTATAGAATTAGTTTGTTTAGGCTTCGACATTGCCTGCTTTACCATATTTTATACGTTGTATAATAAAGGAAAGAAGAATGTGGAAGAAATAAAGGTATGTTTCTCTTATACACATTTTTTATAATGAATTAATTCTTGATACTATTAAAACATTTTTAGAAGTGTAAGTACTGTCTGCACGTAATATGTATACAGTACAATGTTGCCACAAATTACACTGTCCTGAAATCATCGATAGTGTGAATCACTGGGTGTGTTTCCCAGTAAAGCTGCTGGAGGGTTCTTTAAGCACTTTCCACTGTACTACAAAACACTTTTACACCTCGGCATTGTTGTTTGTGTTATACTTTACATTCTACAACCTCTTCTATGTCACAAGCTACTTCTGGTTTATGTATGAGACCTAGGTAAAAAGAAGGTAATGTGTTTGAACAAGAGTATTTTCCGTGCTTTCTCATTGAGATCGTTTGATGGTAAGGAGTTAACTCTGAATGAGAGGTTTTCCCACCCAGAATTTTAGACCACCCTCTGTATGAGCAAAAATGTCAAAAGGAACAGTATGTGTATATGTAACCCTTCGGGAGATATTTGCATCCAAAGATCAGTTTTTATTGTGTACTGGTACTAACTGCCTTATTCTCCGTGCTCTGTGTCATCAAGTCTTGCTATTGCTCACCTCGACTAATGCTCTGCATGTAGTTGTGTAGTTGTGCACTTTGGTGTGACGACGGCAAGCACCTTGGCACCTGGGTGGGACGAGCCCCACACTCTCCTACAACTATATAATATCAAGTACTTTACTAACAGTCGAGCTGGCGTAGTCATGTGGGCTAAACTTAACCTATGAATAAGTAATATTCATAGTTTAAGTTTAGCCCACATGACTATGCCAGCTCGACAGCTCTCTTGTGTGGGCTCTCTCATGTGGGCTAAACTTAAACTATGAATATTACTTATTCATAGGTTAAGTTTAGCCCACAAAGGCAAGTAAAAGTTACCAGTGATAAACAGGATGTTTCAGATCTGATTGTGGCTTCAAGGATCTCTTCCTATTACACTTCTCACAAATACTACTGGAAGGCAAAAGACCAATTTTCACAAGCAAATTCACATCTGAAGAAATCCTCTCATCCAAGCCTAATTCCTTTTTATTTATCATGCAACAACATTACAAAGTCTACAGTTGTGCAAATACACCAACAGATATCCATAACTGTAATTTACTTTGAATAAAATCACAAATTAAAACTTCAATCTTACATGTACAAATTCCACAGAAAAATAAATGGTACTTATGTGTTAAGAGGACGCCAGTCGGAAATAGCAATCAAAGTCGCGATTTTGAATGAAAATATCAAAATAACAATAGACTAGTAAATTTAAATCTAAAAAGAAAAAAAGTTACTGATAAGGTTGTAAAAATGAAAAAAAAAAAATTAATTAGGATGATAGATATCGCCTATTTGCCGGTTAAAGTCCAGATACGTATACCGTCATGGCGGCTCATCTGTGATTCCAGCAAACAAAAGGAAACAGTGGGGACGTACGTTCTAACCTAACTTAACCTATACTATTAATTTGATTGGTAATAATTATGGTAATTTATTAGAATAGGTTAGGTTAGGTTAGAACGTGCGTCCCCACTGAACTGGCGTCCTCTTAACTCATAAGTACCCAAATATCGAATATTTTATTAGAATAGGTTAGGTTAGGTTAGAACGTGCGTCCCCACTGAACTGGCGTCCTCTTAACACATAAGTACCAAATAAATTAAAACACAATCAAATTATACTGCCACATATGCACAGTAAGCAACTATATATAATTGAGCCTATCTATATGCAAATTTAAAACAACTTGTAACTCTCACAAACAAGATCGTATTTAAGAAGTAGAAGTAAATATGATGTAAACTAGGTTGTAAGATTATAAAATTCCACTGTTGTTTGGCTATTTGTATACATTGTTCTGGATAAATAAAAATGTTTAGTCAGAAATGACACAGAATTGTCACTGAGACTATAAAATATTGGAGGTAGCCAATCAAGAAAATTTAATATTACATAAAAAATGAAATTACCTATATGGTAAACAACAATAGAATTGTGCATTTATTACTAATAAATCTGAAGACATTTATGTTGGAATAGAAGATTATGTGGAAAACTGCATTGCTAATTTTTCCAATAACCAGTTTAAAATAGATTTTTGTATGTCACAATCTTTGTTTGAGGTACAATATGTAAGATGCATATAATCTATGGTGGCAGCCATCTATTCTGTTTTCAGTGTTTGTGAACCTTGTAGCACTAGTGCTACAGTGGCTACTTAAAGCAGAAATAGCTTAACTGTCTTTTAAGAAAGTGGCTTTAGTAGGAAACATGCTCTATGACTAAAGTTGCACTGACATGATGCTAGTTCTTTTGTGAGAGTAGCTGTCATGAGAATATTAGATACTGAACTCTGTCAATGGCAGAGTTTATTTGCACACAAAAAGTACAGTAGAGCATCGTTTATCCGAAGGTCGGTTATCCGAAGGAATTCCAGTCGACAAATTTAAATTTTCGCCAGTGCTGTGGTGCTGTAATCTTTGGCTATGTCTTCGGTTACTCAAATATTTTACGTTTTTGATACTAAATTAACTTCTGAAGTATAATTTTTTTGTTTTTATATTTTTCAATATATTTATTATGTTTGTACAAAATAAAGAAATAATTTTTAATGATACAATAGCCACAATTATTATTATAAAAAGTTTACGTTAGGCTTAACATTGATGAAAATTCAACGCAAAGTGACATGCAACGGAGAAAAATTTCAACATGGGATAGGTTAATATATTTTTTTGTACATAATCAGTTATCTGAAAAATAAGTTATTCGAACAACCCCAGTCCCCAATTGATTCGGATAAACGACACTCTACTGTATATGAACCGTACATTGAACATATCTAATTTTTTAATTGAAGAGAGTTAATGACTAGAAGTAGAATTTTTGTAATATCTCTCTTTAGTCAGTTTTTAAAAAGTTTGGCTTCATTTATCACATAAGCAAGAGTAATTTTGATGATGTTTTAGAAAAAAGTACAGTAAACTCCCACCAACTTGATAGGAGGTGAAAGTCTGAGTTAGTTGATTTTTTTCTCTAATGACATAGAAGACGAGAAGATATACAGTAATTTATTATAATCAGCTCGATATGGAAGTTTACTTGACTTATTAGGTTATACCACTGAAATTATTATTAGAGGAAATGAACTCAAAAAATTTCACGAGTACAACAAATAGCAATGTGTATGCAGATCCCCCTTTACTAACTTACTGACTATAGTAATATAATGCACAATATTGCAAATACTTCTGGATATCTAAAACACTTGTTAATTATAATTACTCATTAACTATAATTTTTCTAATATGAATTTATTAGCACTAAGTTTTGGCTTTATGAAGGACTTATCACACACTATTGACATTGTCAGAGTTATCACACAGAAATAGGTGAATACAGGTTTACTATAATAACTGTGTGTATTTCGGACAGTCTATCTGTCCCTCTTCAGCCGACAATGTAAATAGTGTGTGATAAATACTCCCTGGAGCCAAATTTAGCACTCATAGATTCATATTCTAATATAATGACAAAAAGCAAATCAATATAATTTTTCTATTGTCAAGAAATTTCAAATTACTGTACAAAGCTATTGTACAGTAATTTAATGGCAGGGTCTGAGTTAGCAGGGATTTACTTTATTTCAAATCCAGGTATTTTAAAAAGAGAAAAATAATAATAATAAACACAGTTATAAATAAATAAACTGCAAAATTAAAAGAAAAGTATTCAATTCACATGAACTCACAGGTGCAATGTTACTAAAATTGTCTGTATTCCCATAAGAACAGACTAAACCCTGTTTACATGATGAGAGTGAGACAGGTACTCTTGCAAGAATACTCTCAACTAGCCAGCTCAGTTTAATACTTAGAGTAGCTCTCATGTAGTTTCTTTGATGAGAGTTTAGCAATTACAACTGTCTTAAGAACAACTCTCATTTAATTAACATTGTATTGACTGCTTACCAATGACATGGCCTGTGATAGTCATTGTAGTGATTCCCGTTGTTTTCTTCTTTTCACTCATATTTGCAAGTGAGTAGTGAAAGTTATTAGACAAAAAGATTTTATATCCATCTCAAATTCTACATGACTGAATTTCACTTGTTTTTCCATTATGGAAATATTATTGCTTTGAATTATATACTTAAATTCAGTTTGTCTGCAGTTATCTAAATATGAATCAAAATATTTTTAAGTATTAAAAAAAATATTGACGATTATAAAAATTATGTAAAAAGTTAAAAAAAGCTACTGTATATTATGAAACTAACAAATTTAACTTTTTATCATTTATCATGGGTTCACTAGTGACTCACCAATGATCTAATAGTTATTAATTAAACTTAAAAAAAAATGATTTTGCAGTTTTAGTATCCTTGAATACTACCTCTCATAATCTTTTCTATTCATTCATATCTATCTATATATTATTCAT